TAACTAACTAACTAACTAACTAACTAACTAACTAACTAACTAACTAAATGTAATTTAAGAAATAATGTGATCTATAGAACTATTCACACTTAAACGTTTAAACTCCATTTACTTATTTATGTGGGGAAACTGGAACTCAGGTCATCAGGTCTTGTGGCGGGCACCTTAGGGAGCCATCCTGCTGGCTCTAGATCCCAAGACTAATTAATTTGGGCTTATGATGTCTATTCCCACAGCACTTGAAAGAAACACTTCTGTGAAACCGCCCTTTCACATGATCACACTTGGCTTGAACATAAAAAAGAGTCTGGGGAGTTCCCTGTCACCAGAGCCTGCACCCACTGTGAACAGAACTCGGCTCCAAGGATGCTCTACATGGCCTTGGAGAAAGCAGATCTACACGGGGACCAAGATATCTGGTCTGGCACTTAGTCCATTTCAAAAACAGCAATTCTGCCTGGCTCCTCTCTGCTCACTCAGGTTCCTTGGAAGATTCTTTGCTGCAATGTGTGTGCCACTGAGACCTTGGAAAGCACTGTGCTGCACCTTGTCCCTCTATTTAACACTTTTGCAGAAACAGCATGTCTCCACTGAGCAGTTAGGGTGCTTCCCATAGAGGTGCTGGGGCTCTAATGGGTAGGGTTCCTCTTTTTGCTTTGGCAGAGCCACGGCCCCTCACTTCTGACTACACAGACCCTTCACACGCTTCTTTGTCTTTACTCTTGGCTTCATTTGTTTCTTTCCAAGTCACTTTGACTCAAAGACCTTTCTCTTCCTCCCACCCCCACCCATTTTAACCTCGAGGAAGAAACATTTACACAAAAGGACAGCTGCTCAGCTTATCCAGGCTTCTATTCCTCCTTACCACGTCCCTGATATAGGTCAGTCTAGAATCTTCTAGTTCAATACTTCAAGTTCCTGTAAGCCCTAACTCTGACTGAATACTAGTGGGAGATGTGGTTTGTATGTTGGAGAGGGTTAAGACATTTTTCTACGCCTGTAATCCAAGCACTCAAAGTGGCAGAGGCAGGCAGATCTCTGTGAGTTCAAGGCCAGCCTGATCTACAAAGTAAATCCAGGACAGCCAAGGCTACACAGAGAAACCCTGTCTCAAACTTTCCCCAACCAAAAAGAAGACATTCTGCTAGCACAACCATCGAGACACTTCTCTCTAACCATCTCCTAAGTCCCCATTATCACCCTCTTTGCTGGCTGTGTATCTAGAACTGATACACAGAAAGCTAGTTCACAGCTCCAGCCTTTCTTCAGAATGAGAAAGAGGGACATATGACTGAGTTGTGTCTCCCAAGTGAAAAACAATACAGATTTGTGTTTCTCATTCCACTTACAGTAAGTGGAGAAACAGAAACGAGAACTGGATGCAACCCTCACTCACCCCCCAAAAAACTCATAACAAATCTTCACCTTCCATGCCCACTCTCTAAGGGTAGGCAGGTATGGAGCCTTCAAACATTTTAATAAAGTTTTGACTTTTTTCCCCTCAAGGGGAAATTGTACTCACCTTATCCCCATACTGAATATATTTATTAAATTCATCCTTCCAGTACCAAAGCCACTTGGTGGTGAAGACAGAATCAGCTGCCTTTTCAACAGATGAAGGAGTGGAGAGGCGTCGGATGGGATAAGTATCACAAGTCATTTTCTGGAAATTGATCTGATGCTTTCCTATTAAAACACTGTGAGGGAAAGGCAGAATGTTAAGTAAACACACCAATGACCTCTGTCTCCTACACCGGTGAGCCCTACCAGGAACACAGAGTTTACATTTTAGAGCTGCAATGGATCTTTAAATGTTCTCTGTATTTCTCCGTCTTTCATCCTAAATGGCACTGGGAGTTCTCTGAACAGCTCCTGGTCTTACACATACTAAACAAACTGAAATGCAGACAGGTAATTTGTCTACACTACATATGAAATGGTTTCCAAAAACTATACATATTCCTGCTGGGTGTGGTGGTGCATTTAAACCCAGCACTCAGGGAGCAGAGGCAGGTGGATCTCTGTGAGTTAGAGGCCAGCCTGGTCTATGTAGAAAGGCCTTGCCTCAATATATAGCACACAACAGACAAGTAAAGAAATAATTTTAAAGAGGTGTTCATTCTCCCCCACCCAAAAAAACCACTAGTGGCCTAGAGCAAAGGCTCAGGGTGGTTACAAGGACTTGGGTTCAATTTCCCACCCTCAGATGATAACTCACTCACAACCATTTGTAACTCCAGGCCCAAGGAATCCACACATGCAAACACAGCCAAAAATTCTCATACACATAAGATAAAATAAAACAAATCTTTACATAAAGGAAAAAATGTTAAATGATTCCCTCCACCAAAAAAGTATAAAATTACTCATAAAACAAATATTTGGCTTAGTATAGGAACTCATTTGTTTAAGTAAAAAAAGACATTTATCAAATAGTTTCAATAATATAAGAACTATGGGAGGATTGGCAAGGTCAAAGTTATCACAGAAATATTAAAACAACATCTTAAAAAAAAAAAAAAGGACTGGGCTTGGTGTCAAATGCCTTTAATCCCAGCACTCAGGAAGCAGAGGAGGCAGATCTATGAGCACATGGACAGAATAGCCAGTGCTACAGACACACAGATACACAGACACAGACACAGACACACACACACACACACACAAAACCCTATTTCAAAAACCAAAACCAAACCAAACCAAAAACCCAACAATCTGTCTTTTCCCTTTCCTATTTTTATGTGTGTAAAATAGCTTTCTAGAGGCTACATAATTCATAATTTCACATCAGATTTAATTTTATTTGTGTGATTATGATTTTGTGGGTTTGATATGAGATAATGTTTATGATTTATATATGCATGTATGTGTGTTTATATAACATGAGTGTGTGTGATATATATATGGTATATATATATGTGTGTATGATATATGCACATGTATGGTAAGCACACAGACACACATGGAGGTTAGAGAACTACACTTAGAAGTAGTTCTCTCCTTCCACTGTGGATTCTGGGAGCTGAACTTGGTTCATCCCCCTTACATGGCAAGCACTTTTATCCACTAAGCCTTCTTCCGGCCCCAGGCATTATTTTTAATATGATATCCTGATAGCTGTAACTTACATACATGGATCCTCAATACATTTCAGGAGTGTGAATGGTGTTGAAAGTTTGAGAATTGCTGTTTTAAGGACTTGGGTCCTGGATCGGGAAAGATCACAGAATCTTTGTAATAGTGGAAGACAATGTTGGTCACCGCAGAGTAAGGGAATCAGGGAAGGAAAGACCAAGAACATTGTAAACACTGTTCCACAAACCAGGCAGTGGTGGTACACACCTTTAGTCCCAACACTCAGGAGGCAGGGGCAGGCGGATCTCTGTGAGTTCGAGGCCAGCCTGGTCTACAAAGTGAGTCCAGAATAGCCAAAGCTACACAGAGAAACCCTGTCTTGTATTAAAAAAAAGAAAAAAGAAAAACAAAACCAAAAAACACTGCCCCACAACAAATTCTATTCTTAAATATCAGTATTTTCAACATTGAGAAACTGAGTTTATGTAGAGGGAAAATCATGTTTTACCTAACAGAGTTGGGGGCCAAACAAACACACAAACAAAAAAACAACAACAAAGCAAAAAAAACCCAAAACCCAAAACAGTCTCATCTACATATGAGAACAGCTAATGCTGCCCCTAGTGGCAGACTGCAACATCACAGGACACCTAAAGTTTTCTGAATTTCATACCAAATGAAAAGCCTGTATACTTCCCTCTTGCATACCAAAAGTAAATGTGTTCATGTGGCTATCAGCCATGCCAACCCTAGCAAACACTGAAATATAAGCCACTCTCTTGGAAGCCTCTAGAACACGGAGATGGCACACAAGAAACACAGGTACATCTCAAACTTCTGATCTAGAACACTGGAATTATTCAAACCGTATGTGGAGGGGTCCATGTGCACTTGTGTGTGGAGTCTGTAAGTCAAACTTAGATCCACTAGAGTCTTTTGGAGGCAGGGTTTCTCACCGACCTGGAACTCACCAAGTAGGCCAGGCAGGGAATCACCTGCCACAGCTTTCCCTGGACTGAGATTACACATAAACAAGACCTGATGTGTGTTCTGGGGTTGAATTCCAGCACTGTACTGTACTGACCCAAGCTTCAAGTTACACTCTTAAATTAAGCCAATTGTATTTGTTCTGAATCACTCAGTGTTTCTTTTTAAAATGTGTGTGTGTGTATACACGAATGTACGTGAATGTAGAGGTCAAAGACACTAAAGACTCTATCATTCTGATACCTCCCACTTTGTATTTTTTTTCCTTTTTTTAAGATTTATGTATTATGTTTAACACCTGCATGCCAGAAGAGGACACCAGATCTTACTAGAGATGGTTAGGAGGCACCATGTGGTTGCTGGGACTGGAACCCAGGACCTCTGGAAGAACAGCCAGTGCTCTTAAACCCTGAGCCATCTCTCCAGCCCTCCACATCTTAAGACCAGGTCTTGCTGGCCTGAAGTTCACCAAGGCTAGACTGAGTAGCTAGCATATTTTAAGGATCCACCTGTCTGTCCCTCCCCAGGGATGGGATCATAAACACACTATGAGCCCTGCTTCCCCGTCCCCCTACTAAGAGCCAAGGACCAAATCCGGGGCCTTGTGCTGGCCAGGGGAGCATTCTATCACTGAAATAACTCAATATCTGTCTAGCTTTTTTAAATTGTTAATTAACTAATTTTGAGATAGGGTTTTTCTGTACAGCTTTCAGCTCTCCTGGAACTCACTCTGTAGACCAGGCTGCCTTCAAACTCAGAGGTCCACTGCCTCTGCCTCCCGAGTACTAGGATTAAAAGTGTGTGTGGCCATGCATGGCTGTATCTCTTTTTAAAAGCATGGGTTTGAGGGGTACACCTTAGATTCCTATACTTGTAAGGCAAGCCCTTACCAACTAAACTGTTTCCCAGCTCTCATTTAGTGTGTTTGTTTGTTTGTTTGTTTTGTTTTGTTTTGTTTTTGAGGCAGGGTCTCTTTGGGTAACAGAGTCTTGGTTGTCCTAGAACTCTGTAGACCAGGCTTGTCTCAGACTCACAGATATATGTCCGCCTCTGCCTCCCAAGTGCTGGAATTAAAGGCGTGTGCCACCACCACCAGCTTTTAGTGTTTTTTGTTTGTTTTTGTTTTTTGGTGTGTGGGTATGGACATACATGTCACACTACACAAAAGTAGTGGACAGAGGACAACTTGCTGGAGCTGTTCTCTCTTTGTACCTTACTCAGATAGGGCTTTTCTTGTTTCTCCTGTTATGTGGTGTAGCCTGGGTTTCTAGATAGAGGAATTCTGGGATTCCAGATGTGGCTACCTCATGTGGCTTTTTCAGAACTTCCAGGGATCAAACTCAGGTTGTCAGGCTTTGGGGACTGTCCTTCCGTCTGCTAAGTTGTCTCCCTGGTCTTGTTTACTGTTTTTGATAGTAATGGGCTATTGAGAGTATGAACTGACCTCTGTACTGTGTTTTTCTGCAGGACACACCTACAGAGCAAACAATCACATCACTGTTATGTCGCTCAAGTTACTAAATATACCCAGAATCACTAGCATTACACAGCCTGTTGTACTACATGCTGAGCTTGAAGCTCCTCCCCCTGCTCGAGCTGTGGATCCCATTGGTCAGAGGACAGCCACCAACTTACATATCAATCTGGGGATCACAATAGGCCTGCTCAATGTTTTCCATGTCCTGGAAGTCCATCCACGTGGCACACAAGAACACCTGCCACCGGTAGGGCAGATGGAAGTGGCTCTTGTTGCACCTGGCTATGGCGACAGAGAAGGGTTGTTAACAGCCCAGTTTCTAACCAATTCAACTTCAGTGTTCAAGTGCACTGCTGACTTCCTGTCAGGCTACCCCACCTGCCAGGCGTTTCCCCTCACTCTGGCCCCGACCTGGGTTGTGTGTCCTTTACTCTGGTTCCCATGGAAGCCCCTCAGAAAATAAAATCTAGGCTGGAAAAATGGCTCAGCTGGCTGCTCTTCCAGAGGACCTGGGTTCGATTCCCAGCTGTGTGGCAGCTCACAACCATCTGTAACTCTAATTCGAGGGGATCAGAAGCCCTCTTCGGGCCTAGAAGAACAGCTGTCTTCTCTAGAATAGACAGCTCCGTGTCTTTCTCTGAAGCCTTGGCCTAAGAGAGCTCTCTTCCAGAATGAATCCTAGTAAGTTCTCTCACGCCACTAGGATTTCATTGCAATGTTGAGTTCCTCAAGCCGGTATCTGATTCCCAGTTTGGAACAGATGCCATGCCTTTGATTTTAGACAATCTTCCTGTTTATGGGTACTCTGATGCCCACTTTAATTACAGGCACTGAAGAAAAACTGAGTCATTGGCAAGCTTATGCTCCCAGTACAAGTGGTAAAAGATACTAGAATGGACACTTGCTGAGTAAGGTATGATTATAATCCTAGCCCACAGAAGTACAGAAGATGGTTTTCCAAATTACCAACGTTATGCTTAAATCACTTAAACTGCTTTACTTATCTTAATTAATTAATTAATTTAAAAAAATTTTTTTTTTCTTCAAGACAGGGTTTCTCTGTGTAGTCTTGGCTGTCTTGGACTAGCTTTGCTAACCAGGCTGGCCTCAAACTCACAGAGATCCATTTGCCTCTGTCCTCCCAAGTGCTGGGATTAAAGGCATACACCACCACCGCCCAGCTACTTATTTTATTTTAAATTTTTCATATATTTACATCATCTCTTCTCCTTCCAGGCTCTCCTGTACCTCAGCTTCTGGACCACTTTGAATTAATGGCCTTTTAAAAACTATTATTGTCATATATATGAATAAATATATAAATATAATTGCTGGCCTTTTTAATGATTTAAAACTTTTCATGTGTATGTGTGCGCATGCATGAGTTCATGTACACCATGCATGGAGGTGCCCATGAACACTAGAAGGCACTGGATTCCCTAGAACTGGAGTTACAGGTGGTTCTAAGCAGCCATGTGGGTGCTAACAACTTAATCCAGGTCCTCTGTAAGAGCAGTGCTCCGCTGGAGTCTGGGGCTGGGGGTCTCCCCAACATGGTCTGGTAAAATCCCAGTTCTTCCTCTCTCTACCTCCAACCCTGTCCATTCGGAAAGCTTCTAAGGCCCAGTTCTGCATTCCAGATATCTGTCACAACCCCCCTCACCTGAAGAGGCCAGCCACAGTCTCTCCAGCCCCTTAAATTACTGTAAAAATGTTTACAAGCACATGGCTACTTTAAAATAAAAAAGGCACCACATTGGAAATCAGTCACAAAATGGCACTACTTGAGATTTATATGGTTAAAAATGCATAAATGGTCAGGTATGATAGCAGAGGCAGGAAGATCTCTGTGAGGTTGAGGTCAGCATGGTCTACAAAGGAGGAGGAGGAAGAAGAAGGCTGTTCTGGAGGACAGTCATTTTCTTCAGTGGTGTAGATACTGATAAGCTACCTGTGCCTCTGTAAATAACCCCACACTCGTGCTTATGCAAGCAGTCCTGATTGAACTCAGTGGGTCATTACAAAAAAAAAAAGAAAGAAAGAAAGACATGAACATACAGGGAGAACTTGTTGGAAAATGGAGGTTCAGTGAGAGAGAGGAATGAGAGGAGGCAGTAGGTATGTTTTTGAAAATAAAATTCATAATATATATGTATGATACTGTCAAAGATTTCTTTTTTAGAGAATGAAGAGAAAAGAGAAATAAAAGAAGAGGGAGGAGAAAAATAGCTGAGCCACAATGAAAAATGTTTTCTCCAAAAATCATACAGAATTACCCTATAATCCAATTCCTCAAATTACTCAAAAGCAGCAGCATGGTCTCAGACAAGTACCGCTGCATGCCATGCTCCTGGCAGCAGTATTCACAGCGGCTAAAGGCATCTTGCAGAAAACTTACCCCGTAGACAGCCCTTATACAGATGATCCAGACAGATTTCTTTTGGGCCATGATCATCCATCCTAGGAGATACAGGGCTTGTGATGTAGCGCAGGGAATCTGCAAAACAAAAGAGGATGCATGTCGGCATGTCGGCCAGCCTCACGGCAAGGAAAACGTCGGATAGGGGCCCGCATCCATGTCCACTGTGGGACTCACGGGCTGCTCTTGAGAGCCTACACAGCCCCTCTGTAGACTGGAATATAGACACTAGGACCCTAGAGACTTCCGGCTATGAAATGATTGCAATTCTTGGGCAGGCAACTCAATGCCATGGGGTTGTGTTTGTCTTGCCTTGGGAGTTCCCTGCCTGACTTACACTCAGCAGAGTCTGAGGTCATCCTTGAAGGCTCACTGGCTGGGCTCCCAGAGGCACCCACGGAGTTCTTGCCAGGGGTCCCTGAGGCTGCAACTCTGTGGCTTGATGAAGGTGGAGGCGACTGAGACAGCTTGCTGGCCTGTACAGGGGCAGTGGTCTCCTCAAACAGGACCTGGCTTCTCAGATTCTGAACCCCAGCGACTGCTGCTTTTATGCCCAAGCCAGCGGCATCACTTTTAGAGACATTAGGAGTTTCATCCATGATTTGACTGGAGCGATTTGGTGCATTATGGGTAGATGTACTTGCCCACAGTGTGCTTCCTCTGTATTTACCACCTGAGAATGCCATGTCTTGGCTGCTGTTGGTGATTCTGCCAGTGGTCTGGGGATCCTGAGGCTTAGCTGCACTCTTCTGATGGTTGCTAGGTAATGCCTTTTCTCCCAGACCATTGGCTGTGGCCCTGTTACCAAGAATTCCTGAGGTTGTTCCTTCCATAGTCACCCCATCAACATAACTATTAAAAAAAGGGACGTGCTGGATGCCTGGAGCCTCACTCTTGTAGTGTCCAGAGAGCTTGCCCGTTTTCATAGTCACAGCTTCAAGTGTCTGTGCAGCGTCAAAAGGAAAGACAGCGGAGGCCTGACTTGAGGATGAATCAGAACGATTCCTAGAAAATAAACCATCCGGATCCCCATTCTCTGAAAACTCCTGGCTTGCTCCTCTTTGACTGGATCCTCGGAGACCAGCAGCCTTAGATGAGGCAGAGGAAAGCTGTGCATGGTCATGAGTCCCTAGGTTCTTGAACTTCTGGGTGACATCTGCAGACACATCGTCCAGGGAATCCTTACGGCTGGTGACATCGGGGCTAGGTGGACCAGATCCCATTGGCGAGACAGTTGGGAGTAATTCTAGGCTGTTCTTAAAGAACCGGTCTCTGCTTTTGCTTCTATCTCTGTGTGTCCCGCCTCTGCGATATGGATGGGAAGCTGGAAAGAGAAACCAAAGAGAAAATTCAAGCTCAGGTCCAGCTCCCACCTCCATGTCCTCTTTGCTTGTCCAGCCTTGTCAGCTGAGTTCTATCATGTTGAGTTTCCTGACTGGTGGCTACAAATCTTAGGATGGAGCTGAAACCCTGGCAGAGTCCAGGGCTAAGAGAGTCTGTGGCTAAGAGAAGAGGACCCAAAGCTTCCCCTGCTCTCCTGGAACTCAGTGAGTCCCTGAGCCCTCAAGACCCTAAGATGGGCTGTCTCCAGACTAGTCCTAAGTTAATTTTCATTACTACAGTGAATGACAGACAGACTGGAGCAAAATTAGAGAAAAATTTCTACAACTCACAGAGATCTCACTCATTATACTATGGAAACTTGAATAATTATTTCTAACCCTGAAACCAAACAGTAAAGTGATCATAGACTCAAGCTATGATTTCATCTCAGCTACAAACCTTCTAAAGTTCTTCCTCCAGACCCTCTAGTGCCCAAACTTATTACCAAAAGTCAAAATTGAAGGCGGACACAGTGGCTCTTGCCTCTAATTCCAGTATGCTGAGGCAGGAATCCAGCCTTGGCTACACAGGAAGTTCTAGGCTAGCCTATCCTACATTATACAAAAAACTAAAGTCAAAGTGATGAAGTGAAGTGATGACTCATACTTGTTGGGAAGCAGAGAAGAGAGGAGTGTCCCAGTGCATGGAATATGGGTGCTAGTGTACATATGTGATGTCTGTGGTGGAAAGGCATTTGAAAGGAGGGGTTGGGTGGTGTCTGTATGCTTATGAAAACATGTGTGTACTGTCCTGGTAGAGGAAAGGGGCCCACAGTACATAGTAAGAGCAAACCTCCTCCTGTCACCATGGCTAACTCCTAGCTTAACTAGAAGTGACAATAAATACACATCTTTCCCACGCACTGTGAAGCCACAATGGGACACACCAACCCCCTCTGCAGACACTCCGTGTTCAAAGTATGGCATGGAAGATAGAGCGCATGTGCTGTGCTCAGCTCAGAAAGCGTGGCTTTGGATTTAATCTTCACGGTGCTGCTTAACACTTCTCAGCACCATTTCCTTACCCTTAAGTGAGGTTAATAAACAATAAATCTGCCACTGTTCACAGTTTCCTGTGAAGGATAATGATGAAGTATTCTGGGCCAAAGTCCCCTGTAAACTATAAACCATCCCCAAGTACCAGGCGATGTACTTCTTCATTGCGTCACTGTAGCATCCTAGAGTCTGGTATTGTATTCGCTTCGTAAACTTCCCCTTTTCCAAATCCACTTTATAAAGACAACTAGAGCCAGTAGGATGGCTGCCACTAAGCCTGCTTTCTTATAGAACCCAGGACCACAAGCCCAGGGGTGGGACCACCCACAACGGGCTGGGCCCTCCTGTATCAATCGATAATTAAGAAAATGCCTCCCACCAAGCCTGAGAAAGCTGGCTTTAACCCGAGGGAAGAGGGTCCTGTAAGCTGTCCTTTGACTTCCACACATGTGGCTACACACACAAACACATAATACAGTCCCACCCTGGCTAATCTCATGTCAATCTGACACAAGCTGGAGTTTTCTGAGAGGAAGGAACCTCAATTGAAAACATGCCTCTATAAGACCCAGCTTTAGGGCGTTGTCTTAATTAATGATTGATGTGGGAGGGCCCAGCTCACTGTGGTTCCGCTCATGGGCTGGTGGTCCTGGGTTCTGTAAGAGAGCATGCTGAACTGTAACACCTGTAGTCCCAGCACTAGGAAGGTAGAGGCAGGTAGATCTCTGTCAGTTCAAGGCCAGCCTGATCTACAAGAACAAGTTCTAGGACAGCCAGGCTAAACAGAAAAACCCTATCTCAAAAAACAAAGAAAAACAATGACAAAGAAGGAAGAAGGAAGGAGGGAAGGAGGGAGGGAGGGAGGGAGGGAGGGAGGGAGGGAGGGAAGAAGGAAGGAAGGAAGGAAGGAAGGAAGGAAGGAAGGAAGGAAGGAA